ACACGTCTGTCTGCCCTCGTTGTTGTCGCAGCCAACACCCCGGCGGAGGGTGGGGTTCGTGGTGCAAGCAGCAATACTCCACTTCAGCCTGACTCTTCTGTCTTCGTTTCTAGACACCTGCAAATGTGCTCCGTGCGTCACCAGGTGTGCATTAAACCTCTGCCCGCTTAGTCTGTACGTATATAAAAGAGAGAAGCAGGTTAGAAGAAGAACCACAAGAGGCCAGCGATAGGTGGGGAAAGCTCCGAGCACATGTGAAAAATGATTACACCATGCTTTGTTTATCTGTCGAAAGATGATTAACTTTCAGTAAGGCCTGATAAAACAGAAGGAGGTAAAATGGTCACGAGTTAATGCCATTATTTATGTTTACTTTATGGGAATGACATGCATTAACATGTGAAAATGCAGTTTCTTTCGTGTGCCTATTTGCGCCAAGCAGATCAACTTAACTAAACACTTTACACCGCATTAAGTTCCTTTGTGGTATAAATATGTAGGTAACCTGACATATCTGTTATTAATCATCTGCGTTCAAAAGATCAATTGTAAATCAAACCCGAGTTCGTTCCGTACTAGATTCTACGGCAACATGCTATTATAAGTAACAGCAGGAAACCAAAAAAGCGGAAATCTGCAATATCGGGTCGGTAGCAAAAGAACTTATACAGGTAAGGCATTACCGGTGTGAAGGAGAGAAATGAAAAAAAATATATCAAAGAAAACAAATGGTTAATAAATTATTATAATAAGCCAATACATAGAAACAAAAAGGGCGCAATAATTGAGAATAAAGGTAAACAGAAGCAATACATTAAATAAATGAAGTTTATTTAAAGATTTTATAAACAGCAAAATTTAATGTATTCATCAATTTTGAGAGTGCTCTTCAGTTGCTACAATTTTCAAATTTTCACCAGGAAAAAGAAGTTTTAAATTTCTGAAACAGCACCTCCCCTTGGAAACCATCAAGCCTTTGGAAAGACTTTTTGCAACTACGATGAAGAAAAACAAAAGAAAATACGCGAATTGAATTTTTACAGAAATGTCTAAGTAACAAGGAATACCCTACAGAGTTCTACAAAATCTTTAGACGTGGGAAATTACGCCCAACTTTTCAAAACCTTGACCGTCTAACACAATCAAAAAATAGAGGACTCGATTCAGTTGTTAGATTGCAACAAAAGCCTGCATCAAACGAACGACGTTCTTGATAAGATAAGTTTCTTCTGTTGGTCCATTTTTATCAAACATGCATAATGTATACAGGGCAACACTAGAGATGCATTTCACCTTAAGTTACAGAAATCAATTTGAATGAAGCCCACAGAAGATATTTTTCCCCTGAACTCAGAGGGCGTTATCTTGAATCTATCAGACATTAAACTAAACAAATTGCAAACAGAAGCGCTTTCAATAGGACTAGATTTCTGTGTGCCAAATAAAAGAATTAATCCAGTTGAAATCGAAGCCCAATTTGAAGACCTGAGCTCTCAACTATCAGACTTAATACCCAGATCCAATCATGACTTGGGATGGATGAAAGCCAAATTTGTGGATATCGCAGCCCAATACAGAAGAGCTCAAATATCACAACGTACTCCTATAACTAAGGAACATATGCTTGCTCTATCCGAG